CCTAGTGCTGAAAAATGCAGGGTGAAGTGAAAAACAATCTAAGACATCAAGAGTAAAATAGATTAAAAAGAAAAAGAATCAGTGACGTTGAAGACAGATTATTTGAAAATACCCATCAGTGGGAAAAAGAAAACATAGTAGTCAGATTTTCTGTTGCTGAGACAAAATATCTGATATGCACAGCTTAATGGAGGAAAGATTTATTTTGGTTGAAAGCTCCATGTGTCAGTCCATGGCTGTTTGACTTCCAGTGAGGAACATCATGGTGGAAAGGCATGGTCAGGGAAATCTGCTCAACTTATGGTGTCCAGGAAGCAGAGAGCAGGGGGAGACCCCAGAAGGAAGGACCAGGGATAGACATAGTTCCCTATGTTATGCTCCGATGAGCCACGCAGACACACCCAGGAGTTTGCCTTACTAATCTCCTAGGTGTCTCTCAAGCCAGTCAAGTTAACAGTCAAAATGAACAATCACAGTCCACATACTGTCTACTTGGCAGCCAAATATACCACCTCAAACTGCTTAATCTCCAAGTTAAAACAACAATAAAGACATAATTCCACCTACCATAGTATGACTATCCTGTATACAACTGAAAGTACACTAATTCCTTCCTCAAAGCTTTAGTAGTTTCAGAATTTCTCAAAAGCCTAGGTACAAATTCTTCTCTAACACTGAAAGCAAAATCTTAGCAGTGAGCTTCTATGATGATGAAAAAGCAAGTTCTATGCTCTCAAGATACAACAGATTGGGGTAATCATTAGCATTATGAAAAAGAAGACTAGAAAATATAAAAGATTAGGACCAAAGCAAGATCCAAACCAAGCAGGATAAACATTATCCTGTATTTATTATCCTATGTCTGGCATTTGACCCACATAATGGCATGATGTGAAAACCAAAGAGCTTGGAGAGCCCCACCCCTACAATCTGGCTGGTTGCTATCTATATTGTCTTTATTTTTAAAACATTTTTTAGTTTTTTGAGACAGGGTCTCACTATGTAGTTGAGATTGACCCGGAACTCACTATGTGACCCAGGCTGGTCTCAAATTCACAGTGATCCTCTTGCCTCAGCCTCCCGAGTGCTGGGATTATAGGCATGCGCCACCACACCTGGCTTTACATTGCCTTTAAACTCAGCCTCACACAAAGTTTTAGGGCAGTGGTGGTGAACCTATGGCTCATGTACCATAGCGGGTACACACAGAGCCCTCTCTTGTTGACACACAAAACAGTCACGCCAGCATCAGCGCATCAGATAACAGCTGTTTTTTTTTTAAAACCAAAACCTCAGTATTTAGGTGTAATTGCAGTGTCGGCACTTTTTGACAAATAAGTGGGTTTGGGGTTCCAGTTTGGGCACTGTCTTTAAAAGTTTTGCCATTATTGCTTTAGGGCATGGATGAAACATAAACGGGTTTGTTGCCACAATGTGACATGTATAGCCATTAGTTCAATTCCCAGTATGGTCATCATTCCCATCAAAACCTCATGAGCACAATATTTATTGTCCATATTCCTAGCAGCATTGTGGTCTTCTGAGCTTCTTCCACAATTGCCCATTGGCCACTGCTTACAGCAGTCTAGACCTTCTCCAGCTAACATCTCCTAACTTTTTCAAACTCTTATAAAACATGACATCTCTACTTCTCTGGAACCAATTTTCTATGCTAATTAGCTTTTATACCTCTGAGACAAAACACCTGACATACATAACTTAAAAGAGGAAAGGCTTATTTTAACTCATGGATTCCAAGTCATGGTTGGCTGAATCCAAGGCAGGAACACTCTGAGTGTAAGAGCGTGGTGATGGAAAGTTGCTCACCTCATGGCATCTGAGAATCAGAGAGCAGAGGAAGAGCATCAGAGAGAAAGTGGCCAGTAACCAGATATGTCCCCAAGGTCACACCCCCACAGTTCACCCAAAGTGTGCTTTACTAATCTCCTAGGCTGTTCTTGAGCCAATCAAATTGACCATTGAGATTAACTGTCATGGAAAACAAGAATGAAGAAAGTTTATGAAAACTTTTGGACATCAAAAGAACAATATTTTGAGCTACTGGGATTCAAGAAGGACTCGAGGATGCCATAGAGGTAAAAAATTTCTTCAGAGAGGAACGGGAATCTCTGCAAACTTAGTGTACACAAATATTCAAAATGGGGATGTCCAAGTTCACCAGTGAGATTCAACTCAACCAAGTCTCCCCCAAGACAATTGTCTTCAAATTCTCAAAAGTTAAAGACAACGGGAAGTTTCTTAGAATACCAAGAGAAAAGAAATAACACATGAGGTTTCCACTCTGTCTGATAGCAGATATCTCAGCAGGAACCTTATAGGCGTAGGATGAGATACTATGTCCAGTTTATTTTCCTTAAGAGTATGATCTCAAGGTGCATTCATTTACCTAGAAATATCTCAAATTTATCCTTCTTTATAGCAGAGGAGTACTCCATTGTATTTTTTAAAAACCCACCTTTTCTTTATCCATTTACCTATTGGTGGGCATTTGGAATGTTTCCAAGATTTATCTATTGCAAATTGCACTGCTATAAACATGGATGTGCATATATCACTGTAGTAGAATGCATTTAATTATTTTGGGAAGATAACTCTAGTTTTAGTTTTCTGAGGAATGTGCACACTGATTTCCACAGAGATTGCACTGGTCTACACTCCCACCAATAGTGCAGAAGCGTTTCTTTTTCCTCACAGCCCCATCTGCATTTGTCTTTGGTTGATTTCTTGACAGCAGCCATTCTTCCTGGAGTGAGATGAAACTTCAGTGTTGTTTCAGTTTGCATCTCTTAAATGACCACTGATGTTAAACATTTTTCCATATATTTATTTGTACTGCTTCCTCTGCGAAGTGTCTGTTCATTTCAGGTGCCCATTTTTGGATTGGGTCTTAAAATTTGGGGGGGGCATCTGATTTTTTTCAGTTCTTTATATATTCCAGATATTAGTCCTTTTTTGAGGAACAGCTGGCAAAAGTTTTCCCCCACTCTGTGGATTTTCTTTTCACCCTGTTAGTGGTTTCTTTCACTGATGTACATATAGAATTTTTAAAAGTGGAATTGATAGACGCAGGAAGTAGAATGGTGGTTGCTGGAGCTGGAAGGTGTGGGTAGTGAGAATGGAGATTTTAGTCAACATCTACAAGTGTTGGAGATCTCCTGTACAGCTCAGTGACTACAATTAACAATACTGTGCACCTGGTATTTGCTAAGAGAGTATACTATAAATGTTCTCATCACACATACAAATGATAATTTGAGTTGGTGGATGTGTTACACCGTTTGATTGCAATAATCATTTCATAAGGGCTATGGCTTGGATAGTGTTTGAATGTTTCCCCCAAGACTTCTTGTGTTGAAATTCAGTCCCCACTGAGAAGTATTAAGAAGGTAGAGATTTAATCTGACTATGTGTTTAGAAGTGGAGCTTCTGGGAGGTGATTAGGATTGGATAAATGCATTAGGGTGGAGCCTCTGTGACTGATTGCTCTTCAAGAAGAGGGTGAGATCAGAAGAGACAAACACATCTGTGCTGTCTCTTGCCATGTCATGGCTTCTGCTGTCACTAGAGTTTGTCACCAAGAAGGCCATCAGCAGATGTGGCCTTTCAATCTTAGACCTCCAGATGGTAGGCCCAAATAAACCTCTTTTCTTCATAACACCCAGTCTGTGGTACTGTGTCACAAAATGAACTAACACAAAATGTGTAATCCAAATCTTATGTTATATTCTGTAAATATATACAATTTTTGTTTATTTACCTCCATGAAGCTAGGAAAAATGAGAAAGATTTTCACGTACATAGAAGAAGGCTAAGTTTCTACCTCATCAAAACAAATTAGCCTTCATGGCTCGCTATGCTTAACACTAGTGAGCAACATTACAGCGTGGTATAATCAAATTAATTATGCACATCTCATCTGCATTTAAGAAAACTTCTGAAAGCTTTTAAAAAATTTCAATATGTGAAACAGTTTAGGATGTGTTATCTCAAGATAATTATTGAGATAATTCAGAATTTAAAACATTTCCATGATAAATGTGCACACAATTGAGGAAGGGTATAGCTCAGAGATAGAGTGCGTGTTTGTTTACAAGGCTCTGGTTCAGCCCACAGCGCACACACACACACACAGCAATTTGAGGACCAAATTATTTTTTTCTCCCCTCTTCCACTTTGGATATGAAGAATCTAAGGGGAGAAATTACGTACTAACAACAGTTTCAGACCGAAAATCTGATTTGAAATAAAATGTTTAATGAAAGTGCATTGGGTTTATATTTGCTTTTCAAGAAATTCTGGAAAACGTTGAATTCAAGACTAAATTTTGATTTTTACTCGTTTTTTACTGTTATTTGAAAAGAGCATCAATGTTATTGCTGTTTCCTAAGATATTTTAAAACGTTCAGAGAGTCCTACAGAGGCTTTAAAAGCATCCTCCTCACGGGCACAGCGCAGTCCCACACAGGCCGCCAGCGCACTCGAGGCCCGCGCTTCCCCGCCGTCCC